GCTGACCAACAGGCTTGTCTTTGCTCATAAGCACACATGTATTAGCTTCTTGGATAAGGGTCTGAACTGGATCTTTTCCCACTTGCTATGTTACTGCTGGGTCCTTATACGACCCTGCCAGGGCATCTTAATGCTAACTCATAGCATCCCTTCAGCTGTAACCACTCTTGAATACCCACTTCCCTGCCTAGTGGCATGTTCAAAGCAAACATAATGCTATAGTATGGGGTAAACATTGTCGACTCCAGTATGCTTAACCAACATTCTTCCTTGCAGACAACTATAAGAGATAATCAAATACAGGCCATCCACCCCACAACAGAGCCGCTCAGGAATTTGAATTATTTGGGGTGAGTAGCTTTTGGGTATGTCTTTACTGTTCTTCCCACCACTTCCAGAAACTTTGCTTTTGAGCATACTTCACATCGGCCAAATCTGGAAATGATGCAATGATGCCACCCCGGAGGCATTCCCACCCACTGATCTCAAGCATCTTGCAGGAAGAGATCTCAAGCATGGCGTCAGGGTGGGCCACCTGCAACCACTTAGCTACCTCAGATTTTGAACATTATTTGTAAGTAAATACTGCTAGTACCACCTGTGCCCCATGTATACTTAGCAAAAACACATGGGAGGTCGTTCCCGGTACTCATGCCTCAGCTGTGGAACTCCCTCCCCCTTCAGGCCTGCCAGAGCTGGGGCCTGAATGTCTTCCAGAAGTGCTGTGAGACCTTCCTATTTAGGCAGGCATTGATCAAGCAAGGCTATTAAGTTGTGTTACTGTTTTGGGATGTTTCATTTCATATTTTATTTTAATATGGCCCTGGCTTTTATGTTTGGGAGTGGCAGCATAGATATCTAAGTGAGAATACACCAAAAAAATATTTACTGTCACCAATTTTACCTCCTAAGGAGGAAAAAAACAAACTTCTAAGACATAATTTTGACAAACCTCAATAAATTGCTACTATTTAAATCTAGCAGCATTTTACACAAAGTTCCTGATAAATGACTGAATCATTACTGCAGATCTTCAAAAGAAAGACAGACCTGAGGCAGAAAAGCACATGGAGCTCAAATCAGAATCAAGTAAGGACAGACCATGGAGATGTACATACTGCAACAACCAGCTCAATACACAACAATGCTTGGTACATAAAGAGAAATGCCAGAGCGCACCATCATATCCCTTTGCAGGAGTTTGCAAGCAATCAAGAGTGCACATGACAGACAAAGGAGGAGGATGAAAGTGCCCCTGTCAGCAGGGGATTTCTTTTTCTTTTTGTAGGAGAAACTGACCCCATTTCAACTGGATAATGAATAGACTGTCAGCCTTAAAACCAATGGGACATTGGACACTGGTGCACAAGCCAACATGTTGCCAAGAACAGTGTTGTTAGCAGTGAAAGAAAAGCCATGGATAATGGAAAGTAAACAGGAAAAAACTTAGAGCTTGCATTGCTGAACCTCTCCTCTATATGCAAACCAGCTGTTTGCTTGATTAAATAAATTGGAAAATATCAAAGATGTAATAGCACCAAGACAAAAAAGCATCCAGCATTGTGTTAAAAATATATTATGCTCTACATCTCAACCTGAGGATACACTCATTGGAGGGGCAGGAGACTAAAACAATTGGTGAGGAAATTGAAGATGTCTTGGTGCTTGTGCCCAAAAGCTTGCTAAGAAGAATTTTTACAACTATTTGAGTTGGTCTAATAAAAGATATTGGATTTACCCGAAGAACCTTGTCTGCTTGCAATGATAAAGAAGTTCCTAACAGAGCGTATGAGACACCTGCCCATAATTCATGACTCTAGGAAAATTCCTCTTACCCCAAGGCAGAGGCTATTATAACAGGAGCTGGATAAGCTCATTGTTCAGGAATCCCATGCCAGTGTAGCACAGGATAACATACCCAAACAGCTGTAATCTAGCTAGCTTGGGTACTGACTCAGAGAAAATATAGTGGCACAGACTTCAGTGCAGGCCAGGCACCTTAGTACCCAAGGGCTCTTAGTGGGAGAGATTTGGTGGTTCCTGTCACAAACACAGACACTGCAGCATTTGATAAAACTGTAGTGAGAAAAAATCCAGAGCTAGACATTGTACGTGTCAGCTTGATAAGACCTGTCATCTTAGACAAAATATATACTATGATTACCAGAGGTATTGCTCAGGATAAGAACTTGCCAGATGAGAAATGCAGTTTGGCAGAATGGCCCGGACAGCATATGCTCATCAATGTAAGGACAGCTCTCATTCCTAGATGAGATTTTATTTAAAAACACTGGAAATGAGTCTTAAGACTCTACAGAAAAACATATTAGAAAGGGATGCATGCAAGTCAACTACTGACTGGAAAAAATGTAAGGGAAAGACTGGAGACCATTATATTGGCCTCAGATGAACAGTGAAATTGAGGACACTATCAAGGCTTGTCATATTTCCCAAAAATACAAGCCAAGTCAAGCAAAAAACTCTATGGTCGTGGCCCAGGAAATATTATACCCTGGAGGAAAGCGAGCATTGATTGTTTACAATAACTGGGAAAGACTATGATCTTAGTTCTAGGATGCTGTTGTCACCTTCCTGAGATAGCTTTAATAGGCAATACTATAGCTCATCAAAAGTTTGTGCATGTCAAATATATATACATTTGGTAGATATGGTCACAGCTAACCAAAGGGCTCCCATTTTAATGAGCATGAGTTTAAGCAGTTTGCAGTTGGGTTTAAGGATTTAACTGCTAGTGTCTATAATTCCCATGAACCAGGTTGGTGTTAAAAATAATGAAAAGGACACAGAGTGCGATAAGATCTGTACTTTGCACTGTTGAAATACAGGACTGTGTCAAGGAAAACTAGTTTGTCACCTGAAAACATTTTATTAGAAAACTGAGAACGAAAATGCCTGCAATGTTAGGTGCTAAAGTCAGAGAAACCAGAGGTCAGCATAAATAGATAAAATCTAAATAAAAAGCAATGGCTTGGGGTCATGGGTGCTGCTGCCAGATCACAAACATGGCACAACATACATCAGTGATGAAATCAGGGGCCTCAACAGCACTGGGCCACATGAAGTTGCCTTTCAGTCTTACGATGTTGTCACCCCAGATGGATGTACTCCAGGAGGAATAAGCAACAACAACTCCATTTTCCTGTAGGGAAGGGGATAAGGGGCATGGCATCAGCCATTGGGCCCAGAAGAGTCTCAGACAAGAAGCACAAAAGTTTAAGACAACCAAGTCCCGAGACAGAACCACTGCCAGAACAAATGGACTTTCCACCTTTTGAGTACAGTAGCACTGACCTCTTAAAAGATACCACAAGTCTCAGCACAAATGCAAGGCGTCTCAGCGAGTAACTCAACACTAAGTTTAAGTTGGGTATGACTATTTGGAGCTATGCATTTAATAAATGTCATATTAGAATTATTTAGCTTAGGCTGGACAAGAAAGGTATAGTGTAAGGAATTATGTGTCTAAGATGTTTAGCTTCCCGAAGAGAAGTAGTCTATGAAAGGCAGCACTACAAAAGCGCATGCTTTGCTTAAAAAGAGGCTGTTGGACCTGCATGACTAAGCAAAGTTACCAAGCATGTTTGGCCCTAAGTAATTATTGAGTGCCACACGTTTAGCATAGTCCCTGCCCAGTTGACTGGGTGGTGGGGGCAGATACCAAGGACACTGAATAGAACTGCAGTTTATGCTGAGCTTCAAATCACCGGTAGCCAAACACGATATCCTCAGCTAGAATCATCCCTTCCCTCCATCATACTACCCTTGATGACGACAGTATCTGGAGATGGCTGCTGCCCACTGGGGACTGACAGGAGCAGCTGCCATAGCTACAGAACAGAGCCCCCACCTTGGAGGCCTAGCTTTGCATCCAAAAGCAGCGGCTGTTGTCGCTGGCAGAGAATCCTCTTGTGTTAGGCAGGCAAATACTGTTCTTTCTGCAGAAAGCCAAGCACCTCCAGGAAGGCTAGACCAGAGCCAAAATGAGCCAGCTGCCAGTGCTCTGACTGAGACAAGGGCCAAATTGGCAGTAACCTCATCTGAGCGATAAGAGGAGGAACATTCCTCATGGATCCTTCCAGCCAATTCATGTTAAGAGGCTTGGAAAGGTTGAATCCTCAGGTAGAGGGATGATGATTATGACACAGTGGCATGTTGGGAATTAATAAAAGGAACAAAATCAGATGCATGCTGTTTCATCAAGGACTTCACATTCCTGTTGTCATTGCTTCTTGGACCCACAATGAAGTGGAAATAGCTAAACTACTCATGATTGTTTCTATCAGTCTCCTGAGTATATTTAGCCTCACAATAGCCCCAGAAGGCAAAACTTTATTATTATCCACCTCATACAGATAATCCATGGATACATCGAGACCAATGCCTGCGTTCACAAAGGCATTTAGGTACTATATTCCTATCTATCATAAAAACACGGGCTAGCAGGGACCCTCAGGAGGTCATGTGGCAGTCTAACCCCCTGTTTAAGGCTGGATCATCCATGTATTGCTGTTGGAAGTAGATTACAGCATCACCTCTCTCTCTCTACATAAGCAGTGCAAGCCCAGCCTTTGTGAACCACACAATCAACACTTGGCAATGGAGGATCCCATGGCTCAGCAGAGCTTGTAGAGTTTTGTCTGGGAGCCCACAAATCTGAGGCCAGGATGAAGAATGAAGCTGATCTAGAGTTGCAAAGGCTGATAAGACCATGACTCCATGCTGGTATTGCAGAGGAGCAATAGGGCTGAAGGTACATCTCCCAAGCACAAGATGTAAGTGCCTTTCATTCATGCATGGGATAGCTTGGTCCCCCTCCATATAGTCTCCAGGTGCTTCTCAAGTTTGTGCTGGGCACATTGGAAGTAGGGTTGCCAGACAGTCGACAGAGAGGAAACTCTGGGTGTTTAGCCTCTCCCTATTTTCTCAACCTTTTCTGTTTCTCACTGTGCCAAATCTACAAAGTAACAAGCAGACCCAGATCATAGTGCAAGGTTATTTATTTACGGAGAAACACAAAACTTATCATCCAGTGCAAAGGAAATTCAAATGTGGAGCAGCAGTGGGTGGGGATTGTCAAGAGTTCTACGCTTTTCTTTAGAGTTATGTCCATGCAAGTTTAGCATCTCGTTTGCCAGCTTGGCAGACTCTGGAGGCTGAAGGGCTTTATTTCCCTTCACAATAGATTTAACACCCCTGGTGGCTGTGGAAACTCTTCATGGGAACTTGCTAATGTGTCCCATCGGGGGGAGGGGATACAGTCCCTGTAGCCCATCCTCAGCGAAAAGTACCCAAAATCTTAAAATGTGACTCATTATTTTAACACCTTCACACAGGCCAATTTTCAAAGAGAAGGGAACTTAGTACTTCCTGACAATCAGGCGTTTTGAGGAATCCCAGAGTGAGTACCTAACATTACTAGTTGCTCTTGGAAATGATGACCCAGGATTGTCAGCCAGTGCCACTCATGATAGCAGCTCAGGCAGCAGGTCAGGGAGAACAGGCAAGAGAGAGCCCAGTGCCTCCATCTCATACAATTTCTGGCACATCACTTCATTCTCTGCTCGTCTCATTCCTCCCTATTCTTTAACTTTCTCTTAACTCTTTGGCCATGCCATTCCCCTCGGTAATAAAACTGGGGAGGAAGAGAGCTGAAACAGCTCCCTGATAATTCCTTAATGAATAAACGCATCATTTTCATTTAAAAAAAAAAAAAACAGATTATTTCCCCTGCATATGTAAAGCCAGGAGAGGGCAAAAGTCTATCACAGCCATTGCTGCAACTACCCTTGTTTGGATTAGAGACTAAATCTCTAACCAAATTATTCCCACACGTCGTAGATGATTATCTGCACAGCATCCAAAATAGCACCTAGGAAGCTATTCTAAGATACACTGCTAGCCCATCAGAGTGGTGTCTCCTTGGGTGTGTGCTAACCCTGGTACCCAAACTCCTTGTACTTGCTGGCCATGTCATTTCGGAACAGCTCCAGGGCCTTCCTCATCGCAGCCTGGGAATCTGCCCCAAAGTCCACAGGATACTTCTCAGCAATAACCTTGACAATGATTTCAGAAATGAACTGTTGAGGAGGAAGGAAGGGAAGGGAACAGAAGGGACAAGTAAGAGTCACTTGCAGTTTAGTTACAGTAAGTTCAGAGTAAGAAATGGGTTACATGCACCAAAAACTGAGTAAAATCAATAGAGCCCTCCCCTCAGGCTCTTGAGAAACAATGTAGTCTCCTAGATAGTGCCCTGAGCAGAGTGTAAGAAAAATTAAATTCTATTTCTGACTCAGCCACTTACCTGTTTGAGACATTGGGCATGTCACATCCCCACTCACCTTTTGTCAGCCTTGTCCACTGAGATTATAAATTCTTACCCTGTTTGTGTGCACAGTGCCTAGTACAATGGGTTTTGTGTGCTCTTTTCTTACTGTTCTGACATAATATGGCTTCCCACAAGTGCAGAGGTTGCCCACAGTAGTTTGATATCCTTATGAGTTGCTGGTGGGGTGGTAAACAGTATTTTGAGTGGGAAATCTAACTTTGGAGGGTCACACACCATGAGCTGCCCCCTTCTACATCACTGGGCCTGACTGAACAAAGGTTTCTTACTTCATCTGGAACTCATAAAAGTCCAGCTGAACATCAGTGTATACAAATGCAATACACACACACACATACACACACACACACACACACACACACACAGAGCAGCAATACAGTCCACATTCTTTGAACAAGACCCCCTGCTCCTATTCCCATACCTCTAAATACTTGACGGGGATTTTATGCTTGAGGGCATGACTCTCCGCTAATGGCTTCAGCACCTCTGCATGATTGCCCTTCTGTTTTAGGATATTCCCCAGGGCAGCAAAGACATTGGTCCCATGCTTCTTCATTTCCTCAGAGCTCTTCATCTCATCAGCAGTTTTCATGTGTTTGAACTTTTCAAAGCGTTCCTGAGTCTCAGGATGCTCTTGAAGAAGCCTGCAAATGAATGTACAGGACCCATGAGATGCAAAAATGGAACGGGAAGAACACAGGAACTGCCATTCTGGAGGTCCATTCAGTCCAGCCTTTAATCTGAGAATGACCATCAGCAAGTGCTTCTGAGGAAGCAGTAAGCAGGCCGATACTGGAACATCTGCCCCACCACGAAAGTCTCATCCTAAGCCCCAAGAGCAATAGATTACTTTAACCCCAGATATGTGAGATCTTAAGATCCCTTCAC